CAGCAGGGTGGACTCCCGCCACGGCTAGGAGGTAGACTCTTTCTCAGGCCTCTCCCAGCTGCTGGTGGCTGCTGGTGATCTTTAGGGTTGCTCGTCTTGTGGGTACATCGCCCCAAATTCTGCCTTCATCGTCACATGGTGTTGTGTCTGTGTGTTGGTCATGTCCAAATGTCCCCTTCATATAAGGGTGCCAGTTGCACAATCCTTATGCCCTCATCTTAATTAATTACATCAGCTTCAGCCCTGTTTCCTATCAAGGTACTGAGGTTCTGGGGGTTGGATCTCAACATGTGCATTGGGGGCTGCAAGGGCAAAATTCAGTCCATAGAAACACTTTCCCAGCAGAGCATACTTTAACCCAGGGGTCTATAAACCATGGCCTACAAGCCCAGGTGCTTGTTTGTTTAAATAAAGTTTTATTAGCACGTGGCCACATGTGCTTTGTGAATGTCTCCTCCTCGGCTTCTTTTGTCCTGCAGCAGCAGACTTGAGTCATTGCAGCAGAGACCAAGTGGCCTGCAGAGCCTAAAATACTTGCTATCTGGCCTTTGATAAAAAGCTTGCCAAGTGCTGCCCTAAACTGGGAAGGCAATGTTGGAGATTGCTTCATTCACCCCAAAACCCACCAATGGGCATGAAGGGAGAGAGAGAAAGTGAAGTCACATAGGAATTCTTACCTTACTGGGGAGAAAACACTGGGGAAAACACTATGGTGGAAACTGTTTTCAAATAGTAGCAGATTTGGTTGTGAGGTTAAGGAACCAGTGGAAGGAGAGAGTGCAGTGAAACTCCCCAGTTCATGAGGTAGGAATGGGTGGTACATTGGTCAACTAAGCAACTGATAAAGAAAAGGAAGAATGAAGAATGGAGCAAAATAGCAAAATCGGAGATGGAAATGAGCAAATCAAATATATTCAATATGCCACTAAACATAAACGGCCTGAATTCTTCAAGACAGAGGACTATCAGGAGTGTTTTAATTTTTTTAACAAATATGTTGTTCAATAGAATTGAGTAAATGGGCAGTTGAAAAAAATAAAGTTATGGCCAAAGAGATGCCAAGAAACTTCAAATAAAATTGGGTGAAAAAGAGAAAATAAGAACAATATTAATATCGACACTGAAACCCAGAGGAAGAAATGAATGATTTAAGGCACTATTTTTGGAGGAGACCTAATTATAAAGTTTTAGGCATCAAACAACATAGCAAAAACTATTAGATGGATATGGGACCGCACGGAGGGTCAAGGGTCATGGGAGACCCCTCTGTGTGGTAGAGAATGGTAGATACGGGGCATTTAGGGTTACAAGGAGACCCTCTACATAGTAGGCACTTTCTGTCCCAGCCCCTGACACTGACTATAGATACTGCCTTTTTGTAATTTTCATGCCATTGCCCACATTCCCTACTGATGCCTTCTTTGTGTTTGCAAATGTCTCCCCAGGTGGCTCAGAATTTATCTAGTAAGTGAGAATAATCATGAAGCATGTCCGTTCCATATTGCGTAAATGAAAACACACATGCATGTTCATTGAGTGCCACCTGTTGCCGGGTGATGGGTCCATTCAGTGCCCTGGGGGTCTTGCAGTAAGATGGGGATGTCATGTAATTTTTGTTTCTTCAGAATCTACCCATGAACCCAGGGATTAGATGGCGGGCCCATGGGCTTCCTGACCACGAGAACACCCTGCGGGGAGGGAGAGGGCAGGTTACCCCCACCTCTCCAGTTTGCCATTTCGTGAAGCAAGCTGGGTCCCAGGGCTGGAGGCACCTTTTTAACCATCTGCAATGTATGTAATTCTAGCCAGCTGTGGTGAGGCACCAGGGCACACATGGAGTGAGCATTAGTAGGAGCCCAGCTATCCTCCCCGCCATGGGCAGGCAGCCCTCATGCAGGGCTGAGGCCTGGAAGCCAGAGGCTTTGGTAAAGGTCTGGTCTCAGTGATATTGGACCCAAGTATGTGCTAGGCCTGCAGGTGTGGTCCAAATCCCTGGTCTTGGTCTTAAATGCCCCATCACCCCTGAGAAGCTCCCCCACCGACACACACCAGCTGCCCATGCTGCCTTCTGCCTGGGCCCCTGCAGTGCATGAGCAAGTGACATTAAGAGTTTGCAATTACTCCCAGAATGGTGGGCCAGGAAGGAGGCAGGGCTGGAGGTCAGGTTTGCCTGAGCCTGCAGAGATGATTTGCTCAATGAATGTCCCTTGGGTGTCACTCTTTGAAATGCCTTCAGGCATCTGCAGAGACCCCTCCCAGGCAACCTGTAGAGCAACGGTTCTCAACCTATGGGTCACGACCCCTTTGGGGATGGAATGACCCTTTCACAGGGGTCCCCTAAGACCATCCTGCATATCAGATATTTACATTATGATTCATAACAGTAGCAAAATTATAGTTATGAAGTAGCAATGAAAATAATTCTATGGTTGGGGGTCACCACAATATGAGGAACTGTATTAAAGGATCACGGCATTAGGAAGGTTGAGAACCACTGTTGTAGAGGATGCTGTCTGCCCTTGAGCTAGGACATTCAAGGCCCTGCTAGGGTGGTGCTGCCAGGGGAGCCGGTGGACAAAGACATGCTCAGGTGGTTGCTTTGATGTGGAGCATAAGGTAGGAGAATGGCCAGCATCTTGGCCATCTTGGTTTTAGCCTCACAGGAACCTCCCCAGACAGCCCATGTTGGACACAAGGCCTTATGCCACCTGTTGGGTAGTGTCCCGGGTGGAGGACCAGACGACAGCTGTCACCCACTTGCAGGCCTGGCTGCCCAGTGGATGGGAACACCCGTCCCCAGGACAACTAGGCAAGCCTCATGGCCTCTCCTGCTTGCTGGGGAGAATGGCCACTCAGACAGCTGGCAGGTGGGACTAGTTCTCAGGAGAAAGAGGCTCCATGCTTTCAATTGTTACCTCGAAATCACGACCACCTTAACAAATAGAGACAAGCACATAGCAGCTGGCTGATCTATGGCTCTGAGGGTCAGAGAATGGCCAGCTGCACTGGGGGTATGCTCCCTGAGAAGGCTGGTTATTGGGGCTCCACTGCCCCTCTTTCAGGCCCAGGATTCTGCCACCCCCACTATCTCATCACTCACGTGGCTCCCATGGAGCATAAAGGGGAGGCTGCTTCCTGTTGGGTCATCTTGTGGGGACCCAGACCAGGAGCTGCAGAGCTGCCCTAATGGCGAGAGGCAGCATCCCCCACACAGCCCTCTGTCTGGGTCCCCTAGGCTTCTATAGCACAGCACCCCCAAGGCAGGAGCCAGGGGCCTGGGAGGAAGGTGCATCTGTCCCCACGTGGAATTCCTTAGGCAGTTGCAGGAATCCCAGCATAGGGGTGTGCTAGCTGCAGTGCTGGGCTCCCAAGGTGGAGATGGCAGACCCCTGTCTCTCAGGAGCACTGGGAGAGACAGAGCCATGGCAGAGAGCAGGGTCCTGGGTGAGCGGTGGCCATGCGATGTGAGGGCGTCACCATGTGGGGAGAGGCTGCAGGGAGTTCTCAGGCAGGAGCAGCGGCTAGAGTGATGGGACAGGACACTGGGTCTTCATGGCTCTTCAGTGCACGGAATAGGGGTCTGTCTCCCCCCGCACGCAAACTCAGGGGCCCTCCCAGCACCAAACACCACCCCCCTCCCAGCACTAAACACCACCCTCCCCGCTAGTACTTTCTGCCAGCATATCCACAGGTCTGGGTACATTCTTCTTGTTCCTCTCTCCACATGGCGCTGGGTGGTGGGTTCTGCCCCCACTTCACAGATGGGGATTTTGAGGCACAGAGCATTGAGCTGCTCCTCCAGATCCCCACCAGTGTTGGCACCCAGGATGCCCCTGCCCTGGGCATGTCCCCTTCTGTTGACCATGTCTCCTTCTTTTTCTCACCAATGTGTGTGTGGTGGCTCTAGAACCTGGTCTGCTCCTCCGTCCGCACCAGGGCTAGGGCAGTGGGGTCTACAGCATGAGAGGCCTGGGTGCACCCTCTTCCAGGGGAGTGGGTCTGCTCTGGGTTACTGCTGTGGTCAGGGCCTGGGGCAGGACATGGAAGACTTGCTCAAGGTTGCAGGCTGTGTGTTCAAGGGCCCCAAGGGGCTACGGTGGAGCAGAGAGAGCTAGCACCGAGTTAGTGTGCTGGCTTGGAGGGGGTGTCCCAATGGTACCCACACTAAGGGGGCTCATGGTAGAACAAGGGCCACCTCTTTGGCAAGAAGTCCTGTGCCAGGCAGCTGGCCCTCCTCCTCCCAGCCAGGCAGCCCACATGTGTCACCTGGGCCTGTCTGGCTGTACCACAGTGCCTGCCATAGGCTGGGCTTCTTGGGCCGGATGGGGGGCTACTGCTCCCTAGGTTGGGCAGCAAGTGTGGACTGAGGGCTCCAGCTGTGTCCAACACGTCACTGGGGGGCCCAGGAGCTCTCAGCCCAGGCTGGAGGCCGGGAGCAGCTGGCCACAGGCAGGCTCCGGAACAAAGGGCCTTTGAGCGGCATGCGTGCCTGCGCCATGCCCTCCGGCCAGCTGACCCTCCTGGGAACGCGAGGCTGGCGCTCCCTGTGGCTTACGGGGCCTGCATGGAGTTGGAACAGCTGGCCCCAGAGCCCTCCAGCCGGGTCCTCTGCTGTGGGGACCCCCCACACCAGGGGGCCGCCTGGCTCCAAGCAGCCTAGCCCAAGGGTGTTCCAGCGATGGGAGGGGGCTAGACTCTGGTCCCACATCCACCCCCACCCCCAGGGTCTCCACCTAGAGCACCCTCCTGGTCTGGGACACCTTTGGGGGACAGATGGGTTCCAGGTGCTGTGTCCACAGGCGCTGAAGGCCCACCCCAAGTTCAGCGCTCAGACCTTAGGAGTCTCAGGAGTTAATCTTCCAGACCTCTTTAAAATTAATTTTTCATTAAAAGAAAAAAAGAGCAGTAACATCAGAGACATTAAAGTAATCATGATAAGGGTCTGTGAAGCTTCCTTTATTGTTTAGCAAAAAAAAAAAAAAAAAAACTTCTTTCATGCTGAAGGGCAGGATGTGGGCTGCTCTGAGCTGGCGACTCCCTGTAGCCCTGCTGTCTGCCCTAGGGAGCATTTGGCGGGCGGGCAGGAGGGACCTTCTTAGCGCCTCTAAATCATGTGGTGCCGGCAGCACAGGATTTCAAAACACATTGAGCCTCAGAAAATCTCCCCAATGATGCGGATCTGCCCACTGATAAAAAAGAAAAAAAACCAATAGATAAGATGGCCACATCGACCTTCATCCTTCTCGGCGAGTGATGGTTCCACAGCCGGTTACGAAATGTTTGAGCTGATGCCCCGACCTTTCTCCCTCTGTGCACTCAAAGTCGGATCAAACCCCAGATAAGCACCTCTTTGCTAAGCTCTTGGCCCTTTGGATTCGGGCAGATCTGCTGTTTGTACTGCTGTCACCCCCAAAACATGGAAAACAAGCATGGAACTGGCGTGCATGTGCATGTGACAGCTGCCCCCTCTGTGATGGTGACTTCCTTTCCTCTGCCTCATACACTGCCTTCCTCTGGGTTGAGGTCCAGGGTCCCTGACCCTGCCATGTGACAGGTTTCTGTATCTATACTGAAGCCGCCAGGGACAGAGCGACTGCCTTACTGTGTCTCTGTTGGTGTCAGACCCTTCAAGTCCTTACTCTCACGTCTGTGGTGGGGGCTTTTGCACGGCCTGGCATTTATTTCCTTGTCTCCGTCTGGAGGAGACTCACAGGTCCGCCAGCCATTTGCAGTTGACAGATCACTGGTGCTCAGTCCTTTCATTTAATGCTGAACTAACGGTAGTCTGCAGAGATACGAACTAAAGGCTCAAGGACAGCTCAGGTGGCCCTGAAGGCCTGCAGGGTCCTTTGAGGACACTTGACCAGGGGTAGCCCAGGTGAGCACCAACCAGGAGCTAGGGCCCCACAATACACTAGTATTATTATTGTAAAACACGTAACATAAAATTCACCATTTCAGCCATCTTAAAGTTACATTTAGTACATTTACAGGGTTGTACAGCCACCACCTCTATCTAGTTCCAGAAGTCTTTTGTCATCCTAGAAGGAGACGGTATACCTATTAGCCCTCACCCCTCTCATACCTGCCCCAACCCCTGACAACCACTTTTGATCTGTTTTAAATTATGGTAAAATGTACACAAGATTTGCCGTCTTAACTTCCTTTAAAAGAAGAGTTCAGTGGCATTAAATATGTTCCTACCAGCATCCAGCTCCAGAATTTTCTTATCTTTCTGAACTGAAAGTCTGCACCCGCCAAACCCCAGCTCCCCCTCCACAGTCCCCAGCACCCCCACCCACTCCCCTTCTCTGTGGGTGTGATGACCCTGGAGACCCCCAAATCCCCTCCACAGTCTCTGGCACCCCCGCCCACTCCCCGTCTCTGTGGGCGTGATGACCCTGGAGACCCCCAAATCCCCTCCACAGTCTCTGGCCCCCCCGCCCACTCCCTGTCTCTGTGGGCGTGATGACCCTGGAGACCCCCAAATCCCCTCCACAGTCTCTGGCACCCCC